ATAGAACTCAACGAGAGGCGCAGACATCTTAAAGTGAGCCAAGCTAAGCCAATCATCTCTCTCTGGAAGATTAATTAGCTCACATAGAAGATGAGCAGCCAACCAGAGACAAGGCCATAGAGGTGGGCTTTTTAACGAGCGACGAGGCAGCATGGTGAACTCGAATTTTCCGGCAAGCGGCGTAAAGTTCTGGCTTCTGATTTGATAATAAGCTCCGTCTTTTGCAAAAAAAATTCATCATGCAGACGCTCGGGTTTTGTACACACTCAAGTAGCTCAGGGTTATCTAAGCACGGTGAGTCCTCTGCCCAAGAATATATGAATCGCATTCGATTAATACCAGCAATAAAAAAGTTGCATTATTAAAGCCGTGTGCCAGTTAGAAGGCCAAGCATAGATGTCACATAAAAATGCTTTCAGCTTGCAATATGTAGATTAAGTCTGTATTTCTTCACTCCACTATTCATAATCGGTTTCTTTTATCCAAAAAAGCTACAGAAAAATGGCTGCAGTAGAATAGGCTGCAAGCATATTGTTTTTTACCATTTAAGCAGAGATCATTCCTTCCGGGAAGTATTTGGCGTTGTGAGAAAACCACCCACACTTACCACTAACAAATCGCCGCGTTTTCATTTCCGTAAAACGTGGAGAATTGACAACCATTTTAAGACACTAGCTGTTAGAATTGTTAATCCATTTAGGATAAGTTGTTTATACCATATTACATGTGCCAAAAATTATCTTTAACGTACAACTACCAAATCCATAAACAATGAATTCAAAAATTGCTTCAAATATTTTGTGAAAATTTTTGAAAGCAGCTCTAACATAAGAATCTTTGAAGTAGCAGCATCAAAATACTTGAAAGCAGTTAAAAAGTATGCATTAAAGGACTTAAAATCCAAGTGTACAATTTTCTGAAAATGAAGATCGATGTTTATTATTGGTAAATAGAGATTTGATATATTTATCTAAAAAGCTTACGAAAACGTAGAGCGTTCACTTTTTTGGTTGCCTTTTTGAATACGTCTTTCCAAATATTTTTAAATTTAATGCAATTTTCATAATTTAATTTTTTATTGGAGCTAATTACGCACGATATTAGCTAATTTTCTATCTGCGTGATCAGTCTTCTGTAGTCTGATGTTAGTTCGAATACACTATAATTATTCTCCTTTTCTTCATTTTAAAAAATTAGAGTCAATAAAATGGTTGGGTGTAAGAAATATAGCCCTATTCAGTTTGAAATTATATAAGCATATTTAGTGGCATTTTTTCTAAGCCCCTTATTATTAACCCAAAATCAAATTTTGTTAAATTAAGTTATTAATGTTTTTTGATTTGTACAACATTTAATTATGTAATAAATATTCTAAAATATATTTCAAAAATTCTTTTACCTTTTAATTTTGTTTGTATGGATCAGCAATTTTAAATAATGCTTGTGAGCGGTAATTTTATAGTTGGAAGGCTTTTTCCTTTAGGGTGTGTGGGTTAATGTCTAGGCCTCATTTTGTATGCTCGATTGGCTAACGTCTTATGCTTTGTATAATAAACGCCTTTAGTATATGCAGGCTGTTGTTGAAGAAATCGACCATAACCATTAATTTGTGACATTATTAATGATGCAGGAATAATAACAATTTTAATGTCGAACTACTGATATTCTATTGTTCGTTTCCTGCATATATTACTTCATTACACTGTAGCGATGCTTTATTATGGTAAATTAGTGAATTCAATACTTTTTTAATTAAAATCGTGAATTGGCTAAGTCATTACGTATTCCTACCTCGATATTTTAATTTTGAACTTAAAATGCGTGCAATTTTTCTTAGCTAGGTTCGAGTATGCATGAAATGGCAGTTTCTGACACTTCCAGTGAGTCGAAAAGCCTTATTAAGGAAATTCGCTTCGTCGCCAGAGAACTTAGAAGTCTTCTTACATCTTCTCCACAAGAAAGCACTCAAGTTGATGAGTATGACTCTTTCACTGACCTTAACCCGGCATCATTCGTAACTGATGTCATCGGTGTCACTCCAAGCATGGCAGAAAAAAATCCCTCAATTACTGATATTACCGCTCTCAGAAACTGTAAGACATTGGACTTGTGGAAATTGGAGAGCCTTGCCCAGTACTCAATGCTTCGAGCCGCTTTTGATTCTTTCGTTCCTGTTGCAAATGATGTTGAAGTTCTCTCTAAAGTTTGTCAAGAACTTATTGCGATTTTGACCAAGGTACTCAAATGTGTTAATATAGAGGATTTTGTACAAATATCGGAGGGATACAGACGTGCATGTGAAGAAAATGCGTACCTTGGTTTACAAATGGCCTGTTTGAAATGTAAAGGATCAACCGCCATACTCTCTCAGCCTCCCGGGAGACTCCCGAAATCCAAAGGCATAGGTCTCAACGAAACGGTCGTTTTTGAGGTTGTTGAGAGGATGTGTGATGAAATGGAAGAAGAACGAAATAGACTTGAGACCGAGATCCAAAACACAAGAGAAGACCTAAAAAGAGCAAATGGTATGGTTAAACTAACTTGTGTAGTTGGGTGCTCTTTTCTTTGAATTGTTGATTGGCCAGTTTGGGCAACTCATCTAACATTTTTGTTAAGATTTCCAGGGAGTTGAAATCCGATGTCCTTCCTTTTCCTTGCTACTCAGTTTTGCTTTTGCTAGGCGATTCACGGCCTTTATTCAGGTTTTTTAAATGCTGTAACCTTGATGTTCTCCTTGCCGTGTACTTTTAGAATCCCTTGAAGTTTCGCAGAAAACCATTTCCTATATTAAATCGCAGCTGGAATCAACTAGACTCCAATCTCGAAGGTTAGAGAAGACATCAGCTGAAGCAATGGGTAGGTTATAGACTACCACTGAGTTACACAAATTCTCTTTTCTCACGCTCCCTGTTTTCTGCTTTTTTTTCCTTTTAGAAATCCTTCGTGATATTACGTCGGAACTAGGTTCTTTTGAGCAAAAGGAAACCATTTTTCAAACAGCTAACAATATTAAAGTTTGGGTGAAAGGACTGCTGAAAGTAAATTTTTACTTCACCGTTGGTATTGTTCTCATCAGTGTGCTTAATTTAAGTCAGCTTTTCTTACCTTAGACGTTTCCATGGATTCGGTCATGGAAAGAATCAGATCACCTTTTGGAAATCCGGGACTGTCATGTGAATCCATACCTTCTTCTTCACCAAAAGGTTTGTCGTCGTTATAAGTATTAGATATAACATTGTGTTGGTTTTTAAGCTTAGAAAAATTAATTTTCGATTTCTTCTGATCAGGGCTCGATAAGGGGTTAATGGGAATTTTTACTCAGCTGTGATGCAACTAAGTGCTGTTGTTCATTTCTATGTTTTAACGCCCCACTGCAACTCGTATTTTCGAATAGGAAAAAGTACTCTCAGAAAACATGAGGTCTATTGCTGCAGCTAGTTCTTTTATCGAAGATCTGGGCATTGAAGTTAATGAAATCAAATCTGATCGCGCACGCCTTCGCAGTGAATTAGAGAAGAAGGAACTTGCTCTCCGGAAGGTAAGTATATGTAACCGGTTTGTTTTTGACAACTCCTTCATCCTATCATTTGTGTGGAAATTTCCCCTTTGTTCGGGAAATGTAAACTCTTAGAAATACCTGGACACCATACGTCTAATTTTTCTTATGCATCTCTTCCGATTGTTTCAGGTAGAATTTCAAATGTTCGTTTAAAGAAACTTTTGTTTAAAAGTACTTTGGTTTATTCAAGTGATGTATTCTATTCTTAAATATGAGACTGGGGCTACCATACGTTAGATTTCTTCTGTTTCATTAGGTTCAGGCCCTATATTAGGTACCCGAATTGCCCATTGTCTTGTTTAGAATAGCTTCTGTGGTTGCGTTGAATTATCTTTCTCAATGTTGCTTAGCTTCAGGAAGAATCTGATGAAAAATCCGTGCAAATCGATCGATATCGTGCCACTTTCAACGCCCTCTTCGAACCAAATACGGCAGCTAACTTCGCGAAGCAGGTGGCAGAGCAATATAAGCGCCATAGGAACAAGTCGTTTACTCAGAAAACCATTCCCAGTCACTCTAGTAGTTCGACCAGTCACGGCATTACACCTGTTGGATGTATGCAAAACGAACCTCAAAATAGAGGTAGGATCAAAAGCCCTACTAACAGTATGTACAAAGCGGCATCGTCATCTAAATGATCCAATTTAACTTCATGTGTTCATTTCATGCACGCGCATCGGTTCCCATTTGCCCATGTTCGTACACATTTGCATTTAACTTGTAAATCCGAATTTCAGGAAATGCAATTTATACTCGAGTTACTTTGTACATGTAATATAATAGATTAGTTCGTAATTTAAAAAGAGTCATGCCTCCGTATGCAACCCAGTCTTCTAACACTGGTGGACGTACGATGGTCGGCTTGGTAGGAACGTCGTGGTGTTGATTCGTTTTTATCCATTCCTAGCGCAAAATGATTCCCATTAATAACGCTTCGAGATTTGTGGACAATTGTCGAATTAGTCCCAATCTTGCGTCTCCGCTTATCCATACTTCCCTATGCCGCAGCAATGGTTGCAGCTTTCATGCAAAATACTTATAGATTGAAACACATCACTCTTGCCGCAACGTAATTACATTATCTTCTGCACTTAACAACCTGCTCAATCGTCATTTGTCCCATAGCATTTTCACAGTTTTCAGTGGGCTGGGCCATATTTGAAATAAACTCATTCCTACACTATCTTTGCATGCGCAGTATTCGCGTTTTACTCAAATTTTCGTCTAACCCTTTTGATTGTTTTGGTGTAATGCGTTTTGATTTTAGACCACCAACCTCCGGCTCCGCTTATACCGACCTCAACTCAGCAGCCCTGTGTGCCTCCTGATGTCTCGCCCCACACAGCCCGTGTTGCAACATACAAATTTCCACCCTCTCAGCGTACGGCTAATAATGACAAAGAAAACGAAGCCGATACTGTGGTTTGTACCAGTTGTTTTGGTATTCAAAATCACTCTTGACTGTTACCATTTCAAGCTGATGACCCTGTATTTTTCTTCTTAGAACACCCCAAAAGCCTCACCGACACCGTCAACTACCCAAAAGAAACATGTTTTTGAATCCTCTCATAAAAATGTTTTTAAGAAGCCCTTTGAGGTCCCCACCACGCCTTCAGAAGTTGTTGATTCGAAGCGCATAAAATTAAGTGAGGTAAATTGTTTCGCTCCTAGTTATTTTACAGTATCAATCGTTAGCCACTAAAATGGTTATTAGTCACTAAGCCTTCTTTAGCTGTCACTGCTCCATACTCATTTGACTCGGTGATGCTGAGTTTCTTTGAATAATTGTACTCTCCGAATCCGTACTTAACAGTCAGTTGCACGGACGTAACTTTAAAACGGTAGCTGGAATAGCTGTCGTTCATAATAAGTGACTTAAATTTTTGCCTCATATTGCTAATATTTTGTCAACTTTAGCCCTTCCCGAGTTACTGCCATGCAGTCATCTTGTACGGTGATAAACAAGCTGTCACTGCAATCTCGTTCCAATAATCATACTAAAATATCGAGTGCTTTTAAAAAAGCTAGTTGGGTCTACTAAGGTTCGGTTGTTTTTTCTAAAGGTGGTGAGTCGCCCCGTCATAATGAATTAAAGTAAAAAAATAAGGGAATTGGAAATCCGACACGTGCGCCTATTGTCTATGTTTACAAGTTGCTGCATCATTGTTTTAAAAAGGATGGTTTGTTTTGTGGGTTACTGGTGCTTTCGAATTTCTAGTAGGCGAATGTTCACTCTGACTTACTTGATGGAAGCTGAAAACAGCAAGTCAGGTCAATTCGTACCAACAATGGCGTTATCATCTCACATGTGATTAATGTCAATCACGTATCAAACTGCTAAGAATTTCTACACTGGGTGGTGAGGAATTTGTGCCCGATTAAAATTTTCAATCCTCTGCTTCGACTCTAGGAGACACCGACACACGTTCCTGGTGGTTCATCGTGCAACGTTCCATTAACGGCAACCGTTACTTTGCCTGTCGCAAACACTGGTCAGGCAAAGTTTACTCCCCCGAATCCAACTTTCGAGGACAGACTGTGTCCCAAACCCTCCATCAGTAAGCCACCTCCCACGCGAACCTCTCAATCTTCGAACGTGAAGTACGATCCAGGTTGCCCAACGTCGTAGCTATATTTTTAGGTGTAAATATATTGTATTTTTTCTGTATGTAACCTTTTTATGGTAGATACTTGTCCTGCGGTGGTATATTCACATAACAAGTATTAATGAGACCTGTAATCGTTGCGAGCACTTTTTGAATTTAAATGAGTTTACGAGTCACTGTCAGTCGCGCCTACTGATTGGTTTTGCCTGGCAACCAGTCATGCGAGTCCTCTGAAGTATTATGGGATAGTCACGCCGGCTGATTTCTTAGCCAGAAAACACTGGGATGAGTAATGTAGTGGGTACCGCACCCACTCAGCGGGCTGGTCTAGTGTAAGTTATTCAGTCTGTACCCTTGGAAGCTAACGGGGATGTGAGAACAGGCTAACGTGAATCGCGCCCACAATTAATACTTTAGAGATTAGCCTTATGTCCCCATCGGCAGTTATACACAACCAAATAGGCCGCAATATGAAACGTCAGAACTTAAATCGGCCACTCGAACGCACATGAAACCAGGCTTATTGTTTGAAATGTGACAAGGGGTACCCCATCCCAAGGCTTGAATAACGTTGGGACGGTTTGACGTGAGCAATATCAAGACCTCACTATCGGACATTGCGTGATTTGCCCATACCTTAAGTAACCATGTGTGCATGTCGCGGGAAGTGGTTTGTGTCATCCAGTATTCATGTTTTTCCACAAGCGTTGGCCCAAGAAGAAAATGCGTCTTACTCGTTAAGTACATTCCGATTCGAATGATATTGAATGACCAATTCACCCTGATTAAATTCAATTTCCCTGGAAATTTTTGGGTATCCATTTTAGGATTCTTGAAAAATGTACTGTGGAAATCATTTCACACCAATTTAAGCAACCTGGTTTAAACATTTACCTAGAAATCAGTAAGCAAATGATCAAGAAACAAAACCGAACCGTAAATATGTAAGAGGTCAAAAGAATCGATTCAAGAGGCCGTAAGCTCGCAAACTAATACACATGAACCATTCCATAAATAAATGTCCAACAAAGGATATAAGTCGTAAGTTCACTAAAAATGAGGCTGTACAGGAGAGTGGATCGATGAATAAAGTATTTTTGCCATTGAGGGCCTGCCTTGTGAAGAAGAAGCAGAGACAGGGCCGCGCTAGACAATACATAGAAAACGAATCCAATGACTCCTGTCAAGCCGAGTATACCAGCTGCAGCGCCAGCTAATGCTGCCATCGCAGTTCGACAGTACCCTACAACAATCATATTGTGTTGGGTCGCAGTCGAACTATAAGCTACAGTGGATGCACCTTCCCCTAAAAAGAATTGATGTGCTCATTAGCAAGTTTGATTAAAATTGGATAAAAAAGTGTTCTTCTCAAAGATATTTACAGAAATGCAGAATAGCAAATTAGGAACGCCAAACAAATAAAAACGGATCACCCAAACGAAAATATAGGCTACAATCATTGACTGAACACTAGCAGTAGAAAATTGAAAGAGGTAGAAGACCTTAACATCTGTTGCATTATTCTGACACGTAGTTTTTAAGTAATAACGGGACTGAACGTTAAAGAGGAGAAAAATTTGGGTGATTTGTAACGAGGTACAATTAGCGCACAGTATTTTTTGTGAATGTTAATACTTAGCAATATTTACCGCAATTAGCCATTCAACGTTTACAGATCGGAGTTACCGGGTATTACAAAATCCAATTAAAACCAAATTATTGGCAAAATTTGTGTGGTTCCATAGCATTTTAGGGCGTATTATGCATAGTCAAGAAATTCTCTTTGAAAATTAACTTTTAATTTTTACGTGCAATTGAATAATAATTCTTTTCGACATTGCTAATCCTACGGGGACGATTAGTTCTAATTGTGCGTTAAAACATTATTCTAAGCTACCTAAATTTAGGTAGAAAACTAATATTTCTTTCAAATTGATATTTTTTGCGATAAAAATGCTAAACAAAACCGCATTTTTTACTTACAAATGTGATGTCTACATTTAAACAAAAATAGTTGCCCCATTTAATCCAGAGAAACGAGTCTCTTCCTGGATTAAATTTTGCTATTAAGAAACGTAGACCCACAACCTTTTATTGGTCAGATACTAATTTTCGGTAAAGCGTGTTACCGAAAAATGTTATTAACTTTGTTTTTTTACATTTTTTTCGTTAGATTACAAGTGGCTGAAAGTATTAAGCAAACCACGGTTGCATAAGATGATGTCAGGAAATGTGAGCGCATATTAAGTCATGATACTTTCTGCTCAGCATTGACCAACAGAGAAATTTTCTTCCTTTTACTTCTGCTCTTCTAGATGCAGTATTTATATAGTGAAAAGTTTGGAACTGGTTGTCTTTAAGCAATTAGTATTCGAATCGACATTTCTATGTACCAACTAATCTCTTTTTAATGGAGTGAATGAAAAAGGAAAATTCTGTAAGCATTGCCTTGAATATGGCAAGCTTATATTTGGAATTTCCCTTCATGATTTATATTCTGGTGTTTTTTACCCTTTGTGCTATCGTTGAAATTGACCCCTTTGGTTCCAACAGATTTTGTTGCATGATCAAATTCTATCTATAAACGCCTATGAAATGTCAAAGTTCAAGGTTCTTACACCTGTCTTCAGCTCGAACTTGGCCCTGATTTCTGCAAGTCATAATTCCTTGTGTCAATCGTTATTTGCTCCTCTTAATTGTGCTTATTTATATCTATAGCACAAATATACCCTAATTTTAGCTCATCCGCTTCTAATAAAGGCCACTTTTCTAAAATATATTAATGACCGTAGTATGTTAAGGGCATTACATTTTTATTCAACTAAGGGTTACATGTGAGCAGAAGCGGAGTTCAAAATATTTTGCAGAATGACAGAATGGCAATGTAAGGCAAGATTGTGTTATCGGACCTATGCCAGAGTGAGCGATAGCTATAATAACAATTAGTATGTCCCATCTAATGGACTCAAGAACAGATTTTAGATTGTGACTAAACATGATGAACTGTCACCCAGCCTTGGGTTGTTGTTAAAAGTTTCATTACTGATGATACCTTTAATTTAGTCAAAACATATGTCTTTTGTTTTTTTCTGTGATTGTTAGCATTTAGGAAAAAAATTGGCATTGGTGATGTTTTTTTGATGACTAAGCCTACTGATAAATTTAAATTTCTTAAGTTAAAAAAATTATAATATATTAGCATTTAGGGTGTAAGAAGGGAAAGATAATTTTTGTTTGTTGGTTTGTTTAATCTGTCGTGGTATTTCGAAGTTCATTTGTCACTATTCCGTGGTGTGCCACAGAATGTCGCGTCGATGGACTCGTGTGGACTCCTCTAAATACGTTAGGTCTCTCAGTCAATCTGTTTACAAGTTCGAAAAGAGTAAAACCGCCCCAAACAATCATATTTCGCGTTCCCACAATCAGCAACCCACTCGGTTATTGTCGTCGAGGTTTGTGTGGTCGCACAGAGGTACCAGTAAATACTGCTTACTCGAATCAGGATGTAAGCAAAGCACTGATCCGGATCGTTTGGCAATGTGCCGTCTTCATGAAGGACCTTTGGCCCGTTTTCAGAAATCCCATTTTGACGGTCGTCGTGTGATTCCATCCACACCCAAGCCCGTGAATAAGTGGGGCTTTCATAATTCAAATGTAATTTCTAGTACAAGGGAGCAGGCTTCATGTTCGGATGGTGCGCCGGGTTATTCTGAACAGCATGTGATGAGCGCAACAACGTCCACCTTGAGGTCAAGGTACAAAATACGCAAAAAATTAGTCAGAGCACAAGGGGCCATGGCTTACTCTTTTTCGAGCAAAAATTCTCGCTACAATTTTAAAAGACAGAACCAGTCAAAATCTGAGGTCTCATCTTTATGTGGTAGCCCATCCCATGGTCGCCAATTTTCTCCACATAGGTGGGTTGCCATTACCAATCTCATCGTTTAGACTGATTGTTAAGAAGGCAATTGCTACTTTGCGCTTTCAACGAACACCGCTGTGCTCGTATTACGTTAAAACGGGACGGTGCCGAAGTGAAAAGAGCTGCCGATTTGCTCACGACGCAAATTATCTTAGACTCTGTCCGAGGCAAGTTATTTGTCTCAGCTTCCCCCATGCCGTGGTGTGCTTCTTGAAGTTCTTTGCTTTTTGGTAAAACCATTATCGCTAGTGACTTTTTGAGGTTTATTTTAGTTGCGTGGTTATTTCAATGCATAAATGCCTGTTTATTTTTATCACTCGTATAGATTCTTGCAGCAAACTTGCACTCTTGGCGAGATTATGTGTCCCTTGGCTCATGTTCTCGACCCCTGTCGACTTCCGCAGTGCGAATTTTTCTCCGGTGGCAATTGCCACCGTGATTCTTGTCCATTTCTTCACGTGAATTATCCAAAGGACGCTCCCATTTGTCCCAACTTTGCCCGCGGCCGCTGCGAACTCGGGCGGAAGGTCTGCTAAGTATTTATAGTATTAGCACTCCAACATGAGTTTTTTTATGGTTTAGTCAAAGTGCCTCGTGGCTGATCTAAACAATAACTTAAGTAGTCGTGTGAGAACCCTTATAAAGTCATTGGGTCCTTTCTCTTGTTGGTTTTTTTGTCAAATAAGATGCTCTTTTAAATTTTAACATTCAGAACTCACTTATTTAGATTCCGTCCGAAGTAGGCTTGGCATATGGTCATCAAAGCTAGTTAATTTTCGTATATTTTTTTATTAAGTGCAATAAACGACACGTCTGGCAGTTACGAAAAAGGCGTGAGTCGTCTTCAAAGCGGAAAATTGTGAACTTTTCGGATGACGAAGAGGCAAAAAGTGCCTTTATGTCTTCCCCCGAGTCTCCGCCGTCGGGTTCTCTTAGAGATGTCTTTCCTGCTCCAGCTTTCATTCCCTTTGTTCTTGATGACTCCGAGTAAAGCAGCTACTTCTCGATGTCGACACGTTGATGCTTTGTTGGAATACTTTCAGGTAAGAAGGGCAGCGACCTTGTCAGTAAGGTTTGTTACTCCAGGTTTATTGGTTTTACTTATCAATACTCTAGAAGCCTGATCAAAAATGTACTTATCCTAAACAGGAATGCTTGGCATTTTCTGACTTGTAATTATTTGAACAGTTTATTCCCTAATGTATGATTTTATAAAAAAAACCCTTTAAAAATATCGACTTCTTGTTTTGACGCCGAGTTGAAAATGCATAAAACTGAGATGCTGTCTGGCATATGGCTCTGTGAAGTATCATACTTTTTGGTCCGCTTCGAATTTCCCATAAGTCATTTACTGAATATACAACTAATGTAACGATAAATCGTTTTGCAACGGAGAACGTCTCCAATTCGATAATCATTGATTTCTACTGAACTTGAATTCTGCACCGTTTAATGTTGATCATGATTTGGCCTTCTTGTCTCCTAAGTCATCCTTCAGTAATAAATCACTGGGTCCAGTCTTGAAGGACCGACTATTGCTGTCAAGCCGATACGCCGTTTGGTTGTTGCACAATGGCCTGCCGATGCCCCGTTGTAGATCCTAAAGCTTCGAATTGTCAAATTAGTGGCTCCAAATAACAAAATGGCGGAGGTTAAAGTGAAATGCTCAGAACTTGTAGGGTTATAGCGTGGTCGTTATACATATGTTTGAGTTTGTCGGTGTGATTGCCCATCGTAGAATGTCAAATTGCTGTTTATCTTCTGAAGACAGCTAACTACTTGTAAGTGGGGTGTTAAAATATGTTACCTTTTAAGCAGTATATCATGAAGACTTACTAATTGCCTATCAACCGGATTACTGGAATTAAAATGAAACGCTTTGGAGTGCAGCCTAAAATGTGCTGAAATTCTATGAACAGATACGCGAGTCGATTGCGTCCGCATTGTGGGTCACTGCTACGCTACAAAAGACGCGGTGACTTGCCAACGCTCACTGGTATGTTTAGCGGCTGTGATCCCTTCATCCTGTAACAGTCTCGTCGCCGACACTTGAAAGCTGCTTTGCAGCTCAATTTGTTTCGCCCCGTTGATCGAGGCGCTGTTGCTTGCCATACTTGCTATTCTGTCACCTGTTAAGAAAACGTAGGTGGATTTTTGTCAGGGGATTTTTTCGGTGCAGATCTGAAACCACCCGGATGTCTTTTTACGACATCTTAGCCATTATGACCGGGTTCGCGTATCTGCGTTCAACTCCCGAGACAGTGGGCAGGCTGAAGCACTAGCTCGTTCGAATTTTCAAGCCTCCAGCACTCCAAAGGCGCCCTTCTCCTGTACTCTTGCGTCGCGTCGCCACTACCGCCTGCATGCGATGACATTTCATGGCACTACAAATAAAGGGGAAGTCGATCGTTGAGTGGATTAGGAAGGCAAACAGTGTTTCCATTGTCAACCTCAAACCATCTTTACTTGACATGGATACTTCGTAAAACAGCAGGCCCCAATATGCTGACGTTCTGGTTGTTAGTATGCGTTGAAAAAACGACTCGGCTGTGTCAACCGTCTAGGCAAGGTGCCACTCTTGTGTTTTCTTGACCTAATTCAAAGCAATAATCCCAATGAAGTGTTACGAACAATCTTTTAGTAAACCCTTTGTATGCAATCGCATCACGAGCCCAAGGGAAGGTGAGGAGACGATGTGTTGTTGTGTCGCCCGGTGAACTTTGTATTGTGTCATGTGTGTGTGTGTGCGTGCTTGTGTGTGTTTGTTTAGGAAATGATGTAGGCGCTGCCACACCTCCTTGGCCTGGTGGTGGATAGGCGCCAGTAATAGTAAATGGTTTATTAGTTTTTACTTGTCTATGTCTTATCACCACATTTGTTTGTGCACAGTAGGCTACATAGCCCAAGCTTTCCGCAGTGAAGTCTGTGACTAGATCCCCATCCCAGAATAATACTCTATTAAAATCCGAAATATTCAGATAAACCCGTAAACAGGTCAGTTGGTTAAAAGGTGAAGGTTAAAGTTAATACAACAATTAAATGTGTTTGTTTTCGATGCAAATCAAAACAGTGGTAGTACAAATTTTCTAACTTCATTTTTATGACTACCATACTATTGAGTAAATTGTAGTCAAAAAAGTCATCGCATTTAAAAGATTACCAATAAACTTGTGTCCAGTGAATTAGTCATGACTCTTGTGAGTAGTTCTTAATATAATTAGGGTTGTCGTTGTCAAGAAGGGCCAAGCAAAGTAAATACAAAGAAACTAAAAATAACACTACTATCTATCAGTTGAACGAGGGACACCAAGGCCCACAAGGGCGGAAGCACACTTCCCCAAGGACGTGAAGTTCTAGGTCGCAATTTGCATGTAATAGTGGCCAGTTTGAAGTTGGAGTATATCGCGCCTCTTAAGTGTTTGACACTGTCATTCTCATCGGCGATAACACAGGGAGAAAACATTAGAAGATTGGATTCGCTGCATTGTTGCTAGCTCTGTAACGGTGTTAGTGTTTGCAATACATCAAGACGTGAACGTTGTAGCACTTGGAGGTTCATGAAACTAAGATTGTGCAGATTCGTGTAAATGCAACTTGTGAACAATGGTGTATTCAATCAGATCTACCTAAGCAATGTTTGGTACTCCTTATCGATTGGTCGGCGTCAAGTGCTGAGCACAAATCAGTTAAATATTTGAATACGTCCAGTGTCTTATGAATCGGCTGTTGATCGCTGCGCATCATATGTTTGTAGTTTCGAATTTCTATTCATGTGTAAGATTTTTTTTTCCTATAGCTGACATTTTCCCCAAGCCATCAAGCGTATCTCTTACCGTTCTCAACTAAATATCTTCAGTGGCAGTTGGCGTACAAAAGAATAAGCTAACATTTATCTAAAGGAGGGTTAATTCCAATCGATAAAAACCTCTTGGAGTAGCTATTTATTGAAGAAAACTAAATTTGCATTGATTAAGATGAACCATGCTTACTCTCACATTACGGATAATTCGGGGGACTTTTTTACCAGGTGGTCGCAGAATCAGAAATTCACATTCAACATGTGTGGTTTTTTACTTGCTAATCAGATTCTTGGAGTAAATGCCTCACGATGCTAAGGTCGCATTAAGTGTTTGGTCGAATAGAGACTGAATGTTAAAAACAGGTACATCTGCTTCAATTTTAGTGATTATGTTATGTTTGTTTGAAGAAAAGGGTGGTGAGATTCAATAGTTCAAAAAGAAAACGAAATGCTGTGATGATGTGAGTTGATGATGATGAGATGATGTCGTCCTTGCACGCGTTGAAAACAGGTTAACTTCAGTTTGAATCCAGAAGGAAAAGGTCATCTTTTGAAAATGCGGCTGAACGATGCGGTAGCTACTAACGCTTTGCGTTTTGGAAATAATATTTTGCTACATTGAATTCCATTACTAATAGACATTTAACATCCTGACCACCATGTAATCCAGGCCCAAACACTTTAACGTCAGTGGCAATTAGAATAACGCCAATGATGCATGGGATTTTACATTTAAATAAATGGTCTTCGCAATCATGCCAAACGTCAGGAAAGCCAATACATGAAAGTAAGACATGTTTGTGACGGTGTATCATGGGGTTGACCGTGGGATTCAAAAGCAGTATTGTGTTAGTCAAAGTTACCATTTCTGATTACCCTTAAGAAACAACGGCGAATTGAAGTGTAAGGCATTTTTGTGGGCGGCCTTAACCCAGGTTTAACATCTTTGACCGGTTCTAAAATGGAGAAGACTGGGCAGAAAACCAAGATTTTAAGTCCACTTGTTCAAAAAGTCAGGATTTGAGGTGTCAGGTGTGTTTGGTTCGCAGCGCCACGAGAGAATTGCAGGCTGACAGAAAAATCGAATTTTGGTTTTAAGAACAATTTTACAGCATTAATCATGAATTGGAATGCGAAGTGTAAATACGTGCATTTCACTTTTAGAACCGAGGGGTTTTGGTGTAGTGTATAAATGGAGAGGCCATTACGACCCATCAATAAAAATAAAGAGTAAGCTGACATCTCCAAGGATCTTAACTTGCATGAAGGTTCCATTGTGGTCTTTAAAACAAAATGAAATATTTCGATGCTACATTTGTTTGGCTTATAATGAGATTTTCAACTATTTGCAGAATTAAATTAACGAGTTCGGCCAATAAGTCAAGCTATTTTGGCCTTGTGGACAATGTAATAATGAAATACAAGCTACTTTAGTAAAGAATGTAAGTATTCTTTCATGGCGTTGAAACTTGTATTTAATGCGTTGAAGTTGAGGGATTCGATGTCTGAAAGATGATCTCGGCTGGCGCAGCTGATATACTTAGAGTTTTGCTTTTTGATCATGGGTAAGACCAATTTAGACAAATAGGATCATAAAAATATGCACTTTTTTAAATTATCGGGAAGCGGAAACATAGGCTTTGGTTATTATTCATAGGTCGAATTCCACTTTAATTAAGAGTACATCGCAAACATTTGGGAACTTTTGAACGGTAGTTTTTTAGTTACCTGGCTTGGCCCAATGCACCTACCTCAGTGAATGGTGAATACCAATAAAGTTACAACGTTCGAAAATTTTTTGGAAGTCTTGGCAATCTTACAGCAAGTGGCTTTAAGCACAGGCTTTTTGAGTAGTAAAATGCGCTCAAAACAATTGATTTATTCAATCGAGGGATTTTTTTACTTCTTACAGTGTCATTTTACAAGAAATTATTGCATTTGTGTTATGCTTCACTATTTTTTCTTCAGAATATAGTTTGCGTTAGGGCATAATATGATACATGATAACTTTGATGACAAGTGATACATCAAAATTTGCGCCCAAATTCATTTTTGGAGGCATGTTGGATCGCTTTAATAGCTGTTTTGACTGTCACCACGCCTGAGCAAAGGGTTCCCAAAATAGTTTAGAGGTGTTCATTTAGCGTCCACACGATGATATTAGCCCTTT